GACGGGGTGCAGGGGAGGTGAAGCCCAGAAGAACTTTGCAGCACGAACGTGAGTACCCCCGACACTGGGTCACCCAAGAAGAACACTACTGAACCCCTCCTTTCACCCAGTAACAGCAAGTCATGGCAGGTGAGCTGAGGGGGTGCTCAGGTAAAGGGGGACAGGAAGGTACTTACCCTGCCCACTAGAGACACCATGCCACTATTTTTAAACCAGTCTATGTGTGCTAAACTTCTGTTCTGTTACAGGTATAGGCTGGTTTTGTGTGCCAAACTTCTGTTCTGTTATTGGTATAGAACATTTTCTGATAACTTATACCATTTAAAAGTGAAATGTCTGTACCTAGCCCAAGATGCTTTAATGCTCCTTTTCCTGGAAACTCTTCCATTCAAAATAGACTTTACTGCTTTCAAGAATCTTTACAAATTAAAGACTTCAGTTTTTATTTTTACCAGCATCTCACTGACTAGTGTATCTGCCATCTGGTTTAAAAAATAACAGACTAGATAAAGGCACTTCATGTTTCATTTAATCACTTACAGAATGAAAACTTCTGGGAAGTTCTTCCAGAATTTGATTTCTTCAGAACAACTTGATTTATCCTTCAATTTTGAGAGAGAAAAATATTTAGACTATCTGAACCTCTGCTAATATTTTTCTTCATTAGTATCCTTAAAACAATTATATCTAAGAGATTAAGTTTTTAAGCACTTATGTGAACAGCACTGGAAACCCCTATTAGCTCTTGAGAAACTCAATCCTTGATTTTTGGGATAAATTTTATTAAACAAATTAATCTTGCTGCGCATGTCTACAAGAGATGCTGGCTGTGCAGTAGCTGAATAATACTGTGTAGTAGCATACCACAGCACTAACAGTGCTAATATGCTACTGTGCTGTATTATTAAGATTCTGCAGAATAGCGTCACTTAAAAGGTGTTTGCTGGCACTACTGCACAATAACTCTGGTTACTGCACATTTATTTAGTACTTGATTATACAAGTACTAAATAAATGCACAGTAACCACTGCACAGTAGCATCTCATGTAGATGCATCCACTGTCTTTAGGGGTATAGGTTGTAGCTATGTTGGTTTAAGGACATAGGCAGACAAGTTTCTTTGGGTAAATCTGGTAACTTTTATTGCGACAAGTGACTCAATAAATACACTGTCAAAGTAGGTGTGGCTTCTGCTATTTTCCCATGGACTGGAGCAAAACACAAGCTGACTTCTCTTGTTACTGCAGTTGCCCATTTGGGGAAGTTAGTCAAAGATCTTTCACCATTTCTGCTGTCTGCTGCTTGCAGATTTTGATTCATTTTAAAAACACTTCAGTGGAATGGCATCGTTTATGGGGGAAGAATAAAGAAAGTGAGTATTTTTATTTTCTAAAACCACATTCCTACAGCCATGAATTTAAGACATGGAAAAAAGATTCAGAACATGTTAATCTTATTTTTAAATAGGTATGCTTAATTAGACAACTTGTATTTTAATTAAATACTTAATTTTTCTGTGTTAGCAACATATTATAGAAATTTGTCTCCTTGGTTACAGATCATTCTTAAATGTGAATGCTTTTAGGCATAGAATCTTAAAAAATTGGGGTTGGAAGAGACCTTGGGAAGTCATCTAGTCCAACCCCCTGCTCAAAGCAGCATTTTACTATGTTAAATATGCTTTTAGTAGGTCTTCAAACTTTTACTAGAACTTAAAATATGTGTTTATATAGAGAATGTGCTTATCATAAGTGCAGAGTCTTATCATATAAATGCCTCATATAATATAGTGTTTAAACAATGAAGATTTTCTTATTATGGTCTCCTTGACTTACCTTCCTTCTTCCTTATGACATTCTTCCTATCGATACTTTTATCTGTCTGAGTTTTTTGCTTTCACCTTTTCAGCAGCCTCCTCCTAGCATTTAATTTTTTTCTATAAGTTTTTTTTGCACTTCAGTTGTTTTTTTTCTAACTCCCTTCACATTTTATCCTAACCATTTTTTGATACTTTATCCCCCTTCCCATGCAGCATAAAAACCTAAAAAAATAAAGCTAGCTAATGGTTGATGTAATGATTCTGACCCAACAAACATTTGCATAGTGAGTGTTTTAATGTGCGCAAGTAGTTCTACTGATTTTATTAAGATTATTATTGTGTGTACAAGTTATTCATTGGCTATTTATTTGCTGGATCTGGGCCTGAGTTTGCAATAAGAACCTAAACCAACTTGATAGATAATGTTCAATTAACTATTGAAAGCAAGGTTAACCAACTTTGGCTTGTAGGATTTTTACTAAACCACAGCTATGGATTAGGCCTGTTCATGGATCCTGTAAAATAAAAGAGGACATTTACCTAGCAACATCACTAAGAGGGGACAACCAGGACACCAACCCCACCTCCAGCCTGGATTGCCAAAATAGCAGCCCACCACCCATGATGCTGGACTAGCTGCCACTGGCAGCTCAGCTGCAGCTGCTGCCCCATGCACCATGGCTGTTCAGAGTCCAGAACTGCCCAGTTACACCTGTTTTCACCACTGAGTCCAATGGGAGGAGGATCAGGGTTCAACATAAGTCTCTGAGGTCAAGAGTTTCTAACTGGTAAGAACAGCTTTCATGAGGGGGTCTCATACCAAACCTTCTATTGAGACAATTACTCAGAAAAAATACAAAAGGATGTATCTTTTCAATAAAGGTATCTTCAAAAGAAGTCTTAAAGGCCTGATCCAAGCCTACTTAAGTAATTACGAACTTAAATAGGCTTTGGTTTATTTCTTGCATCCAGTATACCTGAAAAAGTAAAATATAGCAGTACAAGAGTAGCAAAATATAGTCTAGTTAACAGTTCTTTTCTGCTGTTCTGAAATTACAGAACTATTCTAAATGCTTGTTCTCTGCCTGCAATATACAACATTTCATGACTCTTGTATGTGTAATTAGGCCCTATGAAAGGATTAGATGATAAAATGCATAACAATGTGTTTGGAATGTGGCTGAGTTATTCCTTCTACCAAAGACACTTCCACTTCTTTTCAGAACTAAAAAGTTTAAGAAAACTATGAAATTGGGCATCAACTTGGTTGCATAGACAAATTCGCTTGCATTCTTTTCCCACCTGTATTTTTCTATACGAATTTACCAAGATTGATTGAAGCTGTCACATGTACATGGACTGTAGCTGTGGAATAACTGAGTGCCCCTTCATTGTAGTCTCACCCATCTATGTGAGGCATGAATTTGACCCCAAACCCTCTACCATCTTTTAAAACTGGAAAATGGGGAAAGGAATGAGAGGGCTTAATGAAACTGGTGCAATGAGAAGGAAAGCCCATGCCTTGATCCAGATCCCAAACTTGTGGCCTGATGAGGTTTGTCTATACATCAGTAGTAGGTACCAGGCAGGATCAGGCCGACCTATGCCTGCAGGCATCCTCCAAACTTTGCAGGTAAGTCTGTTCAGGGGTCATCCCTAGCAGCCATTTTCAACAGCTTTTGCCAACTGTTCTTCCTCTCTTCAGACACAAGATCAGGGCCCTAGGCCTAGCCTCACCAGTGAACTTCCAGGACTAGAATGCACCTAAGGGCTCAGGTAAACTGTGTGGGTAGGGCCTGGCTGGGCTATGCTGATGCTGTTGTGTAGATTAGCCAGTGACAGTCATGCTGCATTGATGGGAAGAAAATGATGGCGGTTTTTAAAACTGGCTTCCTTCTTTCTTCTTCTTCCTCATCTCTTCCCCCCTCCCTCCTATTGCATTTGTTGAAATATATAGATATATATTTGCCATATTTCATTCTGTTATGCAATTTTAGGAATAAAATGTAGAACATTTTGAAAATGAAGTCCAGCTATTTACCTGTCAGAACTTTCAAAATCCCAGAAAAGAAATACAACTGAGAAAAGTGTTTTGTATGAGATACTGAAATGGCTGGGGCTGCTTACTTCTCAGCAAGCTCTAGTTTTACAGCCTAAGCAGGTAGGTTTACAGCCTAAGCAGATCTTTCTCTTCCCATTGCCCCTGCCATGAGAACTGAAATCTGGTGCTGTGCAAGGGAGCTGATTGCAGAATGACTCTCTCATGTCTCTGCAACAAGGTGTCAGTTTACACAATACAGTCTTTTTATTTCCCTTTTATTTCTAAACTTGCCCCATAGGACACAGCATAAACCAAACAGATACATAAACTGTTGTCTTAAACCTTATGATCCTTTACCAAACCCTGAGAAAGTACTCTGACTCAGTAGCAGTCTTCCTTCTCCCCTACCCCTGTCTTTCCCTTGGGAGCTACTAATTTCCGCTGGGCCAGCCAGTTATTCTCCACAGCTGGCCCAGTCCTCATAGGAGGGTCTACAATCATATGCTTACCACCTGCATCTGGGCTGCAACCCCTGAAAGCATGCAGCCTGCTACAGTTTCACTATCATTCTGTTCCCCCTATCATCTAATTTTTCTGTAATGTTGCCTAGGCAGCACGGAAGAGAAGGAAGAGTCCTCCTGATTTGAATCCAGAGGTACCAGGAGATGTGTGGGGCAGTGTTTGGAGAATATTATAGGTGCTGCGGAGGAGCAGGAATTGTGAACAGATTGGAGAAGAAAGAAACACGATGGATGGACAAGGGGACAAGTGAGAGTACAAAAGTAAGAAAGGGAGAATGCTGGAGAGAGAGAAGCAAAAGATTTTACCCTCCAGAACCTGCTTCCCAGACCAGGGATGGGACTCAAAGTTCCTGCATCCCAACTTTTTCCATTGTTTAACAAAGAGCTATAAAATGCACCAATGAAGGTATGTCATCATCTTGGAATGGCCATCTCACCACCGAGGAAAACACCCTACTTATGCTTCCACTTCATATGGTCATACATGGATCATCAGGCAGAAAAGTAAATGATGCTCACAGAGTTCTTTATTTGCAAACCAATAAAAGCACTAGACATACGTACCTAGACTGTGCTTACTATGTACACTCAACAAACATGGCTATTTGGATCATACGAGGTTTATGCAGTTTCTTCAAACAATTACTTTTGTGTAAAAGTTGTCTACAAATGATAAAGCAGGGATCAGTGCTGTGGACCTAAAGGTTTCAACAACCTGATGACCCATGGGGCAGTTGATTTGGTTCTACAAGATGGAAAATTCCACTTTCCTGTTTCTGGTTTTTGTTTTTTGTTTTTTTAGAACTTAGAAAATTAAATACATAGAAATACAATATATTAAAAGGAATGCCATAATTGTTGATCCATGCAATCTGAATTCAGTTCAACTTTGTATAAGTATTACGATGCAATTTTATCTCCAGGATACGTTTTTTAATGTGTGTACAAGCCAGAAGATGGCAAGACACTCCTAATGCTTTCGTAAAGGATATTTATACACATCATAGCAGCACTGAAACTAAATGTTCTGACTGGGTCTGCAATGAGCAGGCAGAAGAAAGCAAACTAAAACATCTTTAAAACCATGGCTATGATGTATAAAAATGCATAGTGGTTTTTGGATGCTTGGTTTTGCGGTGGTCAAGTTAAGAAAGCCTGATATTCAGAAACCACTGAGCAACTTTCTTAGGAAGAATATATCCATTTTCAAGGGTGCAGATTGTAGCCGTGTTGGTCTAAGGACATAGGCAGACACGGTTCTTTGCGTGAATCTGATATCTTTTACAAAGCGCTTTACTTATAACATCCAGATCTCAGACACCCAAAATCATTGGTCTCTGTTGCAAATCTTGGCTCATGAATTAATGAACTTAAGATGTTGTTTTTAAGAATGCTATGCTGTTGCTGAATATTTATTATTATTAAAAGCTTTCTCTCTCTCTCTTTTTTTTTTGTAAGGGAAACATGAACCCCCCGATTCGAAGTTTGATATGCCTACTTCTTCTGGTCTACAATATTTCAGGTGTCCTTGCTGAGACCAAGTACCCTAGAACACTGCCATGTGATATTACAAAGAATAATTCCTCTGTGATTTTTGACTGCAGTTCCCGTCGATTGAAATATGTGCCTGCTGGAACGTATAGTGATGTAACAGAAATCAAGCTCTCAGGCAACCTTATAAAGAAGATTTCTAAAGAATCTTTTCAGGGCCTGAATAACCTGATGAAAATAAATCTAAACAAGAATCATTATTTAAAGGCCATGGAAAAGGCTGTTGATCCATGTGAAAAAGGAATGGTAATTGAAGATGGAGCTTTTGCTAACATGACCAAGCTGATAGAATTATTAGCAGATGAAACCCATTTATGTAAAATACCAGCTGGGATGCCATTGTCCTTAACCTCACTGAGTTTGAGATTTAATAGCTTTTTTTCTTTCAGCCAGCAAAATTTTTCAGAACTCACACAACTGAAAGAGCTCTACTTGGATAGAAACTGTTTTTCCGGCAATCCCTGTGACAGAACTTTCCTCATAGAACCCCGGGCCTTTTCAGACCTCTCTGCTTTGACTGTGCTGTCACTCTCTCTCAACAACCTATCCCAAGTTCCAAGCCAGCTACCCTCATCACTAAAAGAACTTTATCTCAGCAGCAATAAGATACAAACCATTAAGTATTATGATTTTCAAAACCTGTCCAATATAGAAGTCCTTGACCTAAGTGGAAACTGCCCAAGGTGCTTCAATGCCCCCTTTCCGTGTGACCCTTGCCCTGGAGATTCCTCCATTCAAATACACCCTCTTGCTTTCCAGTACCTGATGAACTTACAGAACCTAAGTCTCTCCTGTACCTCCCTCACTCATATACCCGCCAGCTGGTTTTATAACACGTCACAGTTAAAGGTTTTGAATCTTGGTTTTAACTACTTGCTAAAGGAAATAGCTTTAGGAGAATTTTTAGTCCGACTACCTCACTTGGAGGTGCTTGACTTATCCTTTAATTATGCAAAACAAGCATACCCCAAGTATATAAATATTTCTGACAATTTTGCTAACTTGGTCCGTCTCCAACAACTGCATATACGAGGTTATGTATTTCAGGTCCTTACACGTGAACACCTGCAGCCTCTTATAAAACTTACAGATCTACACACCCTCAATTTTGGGGTCAACTTCATCAAGCAGATTGACCTCAGGGTATTCCAGCTCTTTATTAATCTGACTTTGATTTCTTTGTCTGACAACAGAATATCACCATTATCAGACAGCGGCAACAACAGTGACATTCATGGGACATCATTAGGAAATCATGTCATTCGACGTCGTTCAACAGATACTTATTTTGACCCATCAGCAAATAACATGCTAGAATCTGGAGATACATCCAGTAGTCATATGTCTGCTCCTATTTTTCCTTTAATCAAACCTCAGTGCAGCATGTATGGTAAAGCACTAGATTTAAGTTTGAACAGTGTTTTCTTCATTGCCCAACAACAATTTAAAGGTTTCCATGATGTAGCCTGTTTGAATTTGTCTTCAAATGGCATTGGCCAAGCTTTGAATGGCACGGAATTTATTTTCCTCCCTAATCTCAAATATTTAGATTTGTCTTTTAATAAACTTGATTTGGCTTATAGTTATGCATTTAATGAATTACATAATTTAGAGGTACTGGACCTCAGCTATAATAAACACTATTTTATTGTGTCAGGGATAACCCATAGACTGGTATTTCTTCAAAATCTTACGCATCTAAAAGTTTTAAACTTAAGTTACAATGAGATTTCCACACTAACAGAACCTAATCTAATCAGCAGTTCACTGGAAGAATTGGTGTTCAAAGGAAATTGCCTTGATATTTTATGGAAAAATGGAGACAATAGATATATACACTTTTTTAAAGAACTCAGCAAACTGACTCATCTTGATATATCCCACAACAGACTTAAAGCTATTCCTACCAAAGCATTCCTTTGCCTTCCACAGAGCCTAATTGAACTACGCATAAACAGTAATGGATTACAGCACTTTGGCTGGAAAGCCCTGAAACAATTTCCAAATCTCAAATTACTAGATTTGAGCAGAAACTTATTGACTTTTATAACTGACAGCCTTGCCAACTGCACATCCTCTCTTCAGACACTTCTGCTTCAATATAATAAGATTGCTCATCTAGCTGATGGATTTCTTTATAAAGCCAGCAGCCTTTTACATCTGGATTTAAGTTACAACAGACTTCATTCCATAAACCAATCAACATTTCTGTCAAATGATTTAAATTATTTAGTCTTGTTGAACTTAAAGGGGAACCCTTTTGAATGCACTTGTGCAATTGTTGGTTTCACTAACTGGATACATTTAAACATTAATGTCAGTATACCACGACTGGCAACAGACGTCATTTGTGCAACACCTGGAGATCAAACAGGAAACAGCATTATAAGTTTAGATCAACATGCCTGTACTTTGGATATAGCTGCATTAATATGCTTTTCATTATCATTCATTATTATTTTCACTGTTATGATAATGGCTATTACAAAACATTTATTTTATTGGGATGCTTGGTACACATATTATTATTGTGCTGCCAGACTAAAAGGGTACAGGTCCATAATCACAGAAAAAGCTCTTTATGATGCTTACATTGCCTATGATACTAAGGATGTAGCAGTAACTGACTGGGTAATAAATGAATTACGAGTTCACTTAGAAGAAAGTAAGGACAAGCAAGTTCTGCTTTGTTTGGAGGAAAGAGACTGGGAGCCAGGAAAAGCCGTCATTGACAACCTTGCACAGAGCATCCAGTGCAGCAGGAAGACAATATTTGTCCTGACAGAAAGGTATGTAAAGAATGGAAACTTCAGAACAGCTTTTTACATTGCCCTGCAGAGACTAATGGATGAGAACCTGGATGTGATTGTCTTTATTCTGCTGGAGCCAGTGTTACAGCACTCCCAGTACCTGCGGCTGAGGAGGAGGATTTGCAGGAGTTCAATTCTTGAGTGGCCAAAGAATCCACAAGCTCAATGCCTTTTCTGGCAGAGCCTAAAAAATGTGTTGCTCACAGAAAATTATAACCGGTATAACAAACTGTACACAGACTCCATTAAATGCTAGCATAGAGAAAAAGATATGCAAATATCTGTGTCTTTATCAAGAAATAATCAGTTTTCGAATCTAGTCAAAACAGCTCCATTTAAAGTGTTGGCTTTGAACTGAAGTGTCTGAGAAAGTTTGAAGACAGATGTTACCTACTTTAGCCTGGTTTACAAAAGGTATGGTATTACTAGACTCAGGGAAGATCATATAAAGAGAGTAATATTAATAATTTGCAGAAATGTTGTCTTCATATCTGTCAGTTGTCATCAAAAAAGTAGTTAGCTACTATAGATTCTCTTTTTACCTAACCGTGCTCTAATTTTCTACTGGGAACATGATTAATTAAAAACTATGATGTTCAAATTAGAATCCATAGTAGCTAACTAGTTTAGTGATGCAAACTGACAAATATTGGGAGGCAATGAACATGCTTACCTCTGGCTACCTTTTGATGATTTTTTTTTTGTATTTAATTATTGATTTTGAGATGTTTGTTGAAAACTCAATTACACTCCAGCTCAACAAACTACTGAGGCCAGTGCTTAACTGCAAGTATATCCTGAAACTGTTGTGTTCTCCTTTTTTTATTCATGAAGCATCCAACCAGTGGTCTAATTCTAGATTTTCATGAGTCATATTGTTAGTCACATATTATATATTGTGAGTGACCTACATTAAAACGAGAAAGATATAAATAACCCAAAGGAATGTTAGAGGGGGGAAAACCGTAGCTCTTTAAATGTTTCCTCTTTAATTTTCTGCTTCATTATATGAAGTATATAAACATAATATAAACTACATAAAAGAAGTACTAGCAAGCAGGATACCCATTTGCCTCCTCCACAAGATGGTGGTTTGAACTCCTAAAATTAATCTTTCCTTTTTCCCTTGTTAGTAATAGGGCTAAACTCATGAGAAAATATTTCCAGGATAGATCAACTTGATTTGTATTTGTCCTTTTAAACTTATGTGAGATCCTGCCACAGTTATGGTTGTACAGATAACTTAACCAAAGCATACTTTGTTAACTGGAATGTGTTTCGGGAGTCAAATTTAAATCCCATAATAATGTACTTAATAAAACTGGTTGCTTCTCAAGGGGCATAGTTTTAACTGTTCTTCTTTATGATTTTGTTTTTGTGTTGAATTAGACTGCATGCTGCTTTAAAGTGTTGAAGTGATGCTGTTGCTGTGATGCTTCAGGAAATATGTGAACAAATTCTTGTGGATGTTATCTTTTATTAAACCAACTGCATGGTTGGGATAGACGCAAAGAAGATTTCAGGTATCACTGTAACATTTCTCAGCTCTCTGAGCGGTGAGAGCTGAAGAAAGGCACAGAGATATACTTGAAAGTTTCTTTGTTTATCCCAACCATGCTGTTGGTTCAATAAACGATATCAACCACAAGAATTCTTGCTGTTTTAAAATATTTTGTTTGGTTCCTCCATACTTGCTATACATGAGGAAATTGTATATGTTACAGCCTCCCTGCCATTTACAGCTGTTAGTTTCCCCCACACACCAGATACCACTTTGTAGCCCTAAAACTGTACACCCTGTAGTTTTCCTGGTTAAAAATACCAGGCAGGTGCAGACTCCAACCAACATGGACTTTTTGTAGTATCTGGTCCGCTTTGTGCTCTTAAAAGGTTAAATCAGAATTCCCCTGACTGGGTAAATATGACCACTTACCACAGGCAGTAAGATGTTTCTACTAGAAATTGCTCTAATAAACTGATTCACTAATAAGCTTCAGTGGAATCTGTTATAAAGGTAGAGATTTTCAAAGTTACCTAAAAGAGTTAGATGTCCAGTTCTCATGAAGGCTTGATTGCTTAAGTTCTGTAATAAAGTCAGGAAAAAAATGATACAATAATAACATAATTAAGTTTGTACTAATAAACTTGTGAAAATGTAAAATTAAGACATGTGCAGCTCCAGTGAAGCCAATGCATCAAAGAATGTACTTTGCCCTACTAACTGAAAAGCGCACACTGGGCAATAATTCTCTTCCACTAGCTTCCTCCTGATAATTAGAGCTAGAAAGGAAATAGCTTTCTCGTGCTTTGAAAGTGTTCAAGTTATCTAAAAAAAAAAAAAAAAAATCTCAAACCAAATTGATCCAAAAAGTCAGAAACTTCCTGTGAACTGAAAATAACAACAACAAAAAAGTTTTAGTCATGTAATGCTTTGTTTTGATTTCAGTCTTTCAAAAACTCTTTTTAATCAACATTCTTTATATTTTAAAATGAAACGAATTCCTGATTTAATAAATGATTTTGGTTTGAACATATAAAAAATGTACCATAATGAAATTTCAAACTCTTTTGCCAGTATATTTTTAGTTTAGGGCATTTATCAAAACTAACCCTGTTTCACAAACAGTTTTTGTTTTAACAAGTTCCCATTTTTGGCACGCTATAGTTCACTGCAAAGTTCCTTACCAACTCTATTTTCTCCATCTCTTGACATTTGCAGAACAGCTTTGCCACCACTGATGGAAGCTGAGGGATATATAGGTGGGTGATCAAATCAGGTGGTCACCTCAGACTAGTTTTTACTAACCTTCTAAGGTTAATAAAAAGCAAGTTTGAAATAATACATGAAACTGACTTTTCTTATCTCAGGGAATTTCCATGAGTAGTTTCACATTTTACTTTCTTTTCTTTGCTATTGCAAAGATACCGAGAATATCATTACTGAGACACTCCCCATTTATTCTAACATATTTATGTTTTCTTCAATCAGAAGACTAGGTATATCTGTTCTGAACTGCTGCTATCAATAACTGGAGGGGAGAGAGATTTTACTAAGGGGAAGTGGATGTGTATATATATAGTTTACAAGTATTTTCACATCCAGATTGTGATCAGTGGGGTGTGGTAGCAAAGGACTGAAGGAGTTTTGTTATGACTCTCAAGTCATAAGTTTGAGCACCACTTTGGACTGGTGCTGAAGCTTAGTTCCATTCAAACATGCCAAAAATATGTATGTGACCATTCAGGCTGAGAAGTCAGAGGTGACTGGGTACATTGCTCTCTTGTGTTCATTTGTCTATAGGAGCAAGTGAGACTGAATTATACATGTTCAACAGGCCTTCTTGGCTAAACTGGGCCATGACAAAAAAACGGCAACTGAATTCAACATCTAATGGGTTAGAATAATCAACACCACCCCCTACATTTGTTTAACTATTGACCTGGACCCATTACAAAGCTTTGAAAAATTAAGATTACTGCCTAAAAAGCTGAAATACAACAACACTCCTTAAGAGATTTTTAGTTTTTTGTTTTTAAATGACAGTATAATAATTGTTCTTGCTTCTAAGGCAATAACAATTGATTTTATTACTAGCAGGAGCACTTCTAATCCCCAGTTTTCCTGCAAGGACATATCTACTTTTGCCAAGTCATGCAAGGCTAGACATTGAATTGAATCCCACTCATGTAGTCATGTTAGTTGACCTTACTTGGAATGTGTGGGCAGCATTTGTCCCATTGTGCCATCTAATCATAGAATCCAAAAAAATCAGAAATGAAAGTAACTTGTTACATCATTTTGCCAATGTCCCAACCCCTTTGCCAACACAAGGTTTTTGCAGGCATTGCCCAGTCTTTCAACTTTCACAAACTATTCACCATCTTTCTTATGAAAATGAGCCACCTACCCTTGACAGTTTAATTCTCAGAAATGTCTTCCATACTTTCATACTAGATTTACCTTTCTTAAAATCTTCTCAGAATTACTAATTATACAAGGCCCTATTAAGCAAAACATGCTACTTAAAGCACGAGTGGTCCCAGGTTATTTGTCTGACTGGAACATGAAATACCATAAACCTATCATCTTCATAAGCCCTACTTATTCCTAAGAACTGATGTAAAGAGTTGCACAGAAGACATTTGCAGGTTGGAACATTTTTTTTTATTAGTTGGAAAAGTTAAGAAACTATGTTACATACTCCTAAGCACCATCAATTATAACAGATATGCACTATGCTTACATGAGATTTTTTCAAAACAGCAGCAAAAATAGCCGTCCTTTCAATCTTATTTTGAATAATTTTTAGATTTTGGTGTGGGAGAAAGTTTAATATACAACAAAGGTATGCTTATGCTTTCCATGCTATAATACCACCATGCACTCACAACTAATCGTATGTGAATATAGCATTTTAATTGTGGATTTCAGCAAGTGACAAGGACAAGGAAATGATTCTGAGAGGAGATTTTTTCTAAAAAAAAATATTATAAACAAAATAAAAAAAAGAAAAAGGAATTAAGTGTCAGAAAACAGAAAAAACTAGTCCAACATCTGTCCTTCTCTTTTTCGCATTATCTAATTTGTCCCATAACTGCAGCTTCTCTGATTAAAAATAAGCTTCTAGCAAAGAGCTTTTCTAATAGCATGTTAGTTCCATAGTAGCCAAGGGAAAAACAGACATTATAAAGTCCACCAAAAAGCAAGAAGGTGCCATTAAAAAGTAATTTAAATAATAATAAATCCTTTAAATAGCAATAGGTCCAGACAATCAAGGGTGTGTGCACTTGCAGCAGTCGGTACAAATTGCCTCAGTGCACACCCCTGCAGGTGTGCTTTGTTGTGGGACAATTTGTGGACAAACTGCTTTGCCCAGCTCCTCGCAGCTCTTCAGCCAGAGAGAGCTGGAGGCTGAGGCCAGTACCTGTGCTGGCCCCAGCAGTCTTACCTGGTGGCGTGGTGGTGTGCTGGAGCAGCCTGGCCAACAGCTAGAGCATTGCTCTGGACTGCTTGGCTTTCATTTGTGCCAGTGGATGTGCTTTGCGCTGCTTTTGTTTCCAGGGGGTATTTTTGCTCATAGAAAATGCTGGTAGCAAATCTTGCCATGTTTTAATGTTTATTGCTATCAGTTTGTGGCATCACAAAGAGATTTCTGGTGCCACAATCTTCATGCCCCCGATCGTCTGGATGTGGCCTTAGAGTCGAGCTGAATATTTCATGTATTGGTCTTATTACAGTAAACACTTTCTCATCAGTCGTGTCAAGGTAAATGAAAGTGCAGACTGTATCATTATGTATACCTTGTATTTTTGCCGAAATATCCTGTAATAAAAATGTACCAATTCTGTTTTCCTCACTCACATTTTACTCAGGCAAACTAGCACTGATAACAGTGTAGGCCCAATTGATGGAAATTTGTCCAAGGACTACCTAAATGCTAATTTATGTCCTTGTGTTTTAGGCCAATCATACACTTTTTTTCTTGTTAAGAAAGTGTTATAAATATTGCAAAGTCAACACACTAAAGTTAGAATATGCCCCAAAAAAGCTGAATATGCAACTTTAATTCCCTCCCGCTTATGTATATGTATTATGATTCAGCCTTTATGACATGATCACATTCTCTTTATTTTTGCCAGCTCTCAGCCCCAAAACAGCTCCTGGGAAGCTTATTGAGCATTAACAAATGTAAAAGGCCTCTAAAGACAGAGGAGTGCACATGTCAGATTTAGAAGATATGTCAGTGCTGTCCTATCCCCATGCTTGCACTGGTGTTTCTGGAGTATGAGTAGTGTGGGATCTTATCACTCTGCCAAAATGAGATGATCTGCAGTAGCTCCAGAACTTCTCCAGAACTTTATGGATGTTTGTGAGAATCTTGTCCCAACTTCCACTACCATAGCAGGGAGGCTGTGGGGTACAATGCATAATTCTGTCTTAAAAGTTTTTTCCTAGCAAGTTTTCAATGTTAGGAATGTGCCTGAATTAGTTGGTCAGAGAACACCTCTCCCAAACTGTGCTGGGGTTGCTAGTAGCACATTACGTGCCTGTAATTTGCCCTCCTTAAAGAACCAGCATGTATGTGACCTTCAGGGGACACAAATCCTTTGTTCTGCAGGGCTTAGTGTACTACAGGGGCACTATAATGAATAGCTATGTTGGGAGCTCAGGCAGTGGATGTGACATTGGGGTACTAAAGCAGTCTGATATTTCATGCTGGAACAAGCTGTAACTTTGATCTGTCTAAATGACAAAGCTATCAGTAGCGGAGATGCCAACTGTTATTTAGCGGGAAAGCTGCCCATTTTCACCTGCCAGGGAGAAATAGCTCTACTTGGATAATATAGGGCCATAGAAACCATTCAGTAGCACTCTTTGCAGCTGAAGAATGAAACCTGAAGGCAAGATGGTGCTCCCTTTGAAACTGTTTGGATGCCAATGTTGCAAGTGTTGTGTGAATGAGAGTGGTCTACTGCAAACTGCAGGACATCTGTGAAGCCAGAGGCGAGCGTTTTCATACGGACAGGGCCCTGGACACTAATGGATTTCTTAGTGAACTCAAACAACTGAAAATACCCACCAAAGATAGGGTTACCATACATCCAGGTTTTCTCAGACTTGTCCTCTTTTTGGGTCCCCTCTTTTCCATCTGGGAGATTTTTTAAAATATCAACAAATGTCCAGGATTTTGCTCTGCCTCTGCTCAGTATCAAAGCTTTTCCCCCAGCACTTCCCAGCTTACCCTGGCAAGGAGCTACTTGGGGCTGGGGGTGTGGGGAAGGGCAATTGGAGGCAGGGACATCATGTGTGTCTGCTCAGGCCCCTGGCAGCTGCAGGCAGGTAAGTCTGTGGGGTCGGAGGGCCAGGGCCTCAGGACAGTTGGGGGGTATGTGTGTGAGGGGATGGGTGTGCAAGGGGGTGGGTCCCTGTTGGTGCTGGGGGAATCTGGCCACCAGGGCTGTGGGGAGGTGGGGGAGGTGCCTGGCCCT